GTACATAAGAGGCCACTCCCGCCGTGGATTCAGGGGTTGGTAAATGTACTGGTAAGGTGTAGGTACTTAACAATAAGAATTATAATCATCATTATGCTAGTGACAATTTTTACAAAGTAATCCATATTTTTCAGTCAGAGACATGAGCATATGAGGCATATTTTCTGGTAAGCAAGTGTTCAATATATCATAATGTGTGTTGAAGTTGGAGGAAAGCCGGGGGGCTTCTTTGCTCTAAGCTTTCCTCAATCTCATGTGCACCAATCGGACATGCTGGTTTTGACATTCAATTCGACCAGTGAACACCAACTCACCAGACAATAAGCCTGTGTTCAGCTGACCTAACAGAAAGTAGCATATTTGGATCGCTAGACAAGTGTAGATGCTCTACTTTTAACAATGGGAAAACATCCTGTATACTGCCTTAATTTGAGAAAGGATAAGTAAATAATTAGTATTAAGTTTTCAGCCTGGGAAGTGAGAGTCAGTGATTTCAGTCATTGCTCAGTGACTTTTGAATACATCTACCAGTACCAGACACTTTTAGGGGGGGGGGGGGTATCTCTACTTAAAATAATCTGGTACAATCAATTTCAAACTGCATGTATATTTAAATATCATGTTGGTTCTGTCATTGTTTTTATTTTTGCTTGTAGAATCTCAATTTGACAAATTTTTACTTATTTGTATCATGAAGTCACAAACTGCCTGTTAGAAACTTTAATCAGAAATAAAGCCAATCACGTAATACTGGACTCAGAGCATCAAGTGCTAACAAATGATATGATAACATGATTAACATTCCAGGTTATCAAAAGCTTCTTTTTCAATTGAAATGGAGCTGAATAGGATAAGAGACAAAAGAAAAATGGAAACTGAAGATTCACATACTTATTTTGTTACAGCAGTGGAGAATCATAACTATACTGTACAGGCTTCTTATTCTAACAGTAAAAGAAATTATTTCTGCATGCACTCCAAAGACTATCCAGACCTACACAGATTTTGAATCAAATTAAAATTTAATTAGAATTGAGAAAAACCACCAAGCCAAATAGTCCATAAAGATTTTTCTTTCAATCAAGTACGGTACATAATTAAATTTTTACAAGTACATATTCTGTTGGGTGCTGTCAAATGAGCCATATTATAAGTGACATCCACCTTTTCATGTACTTTGGTAAAAATGCTCAAATTAGAATATCAAAAGCTGGAATGTCGAGTACAGTCTTCCACAACTGCAGTATCCAGTCGTCATAATTGGTTCTACAGATGTAATTTTTGATCATTATTGTTGACTGTCTCAAAACACGTAGTAAATAATTTGTTCTGTTTACAGTTGAAGTTTTCTTTTCTTTTCTAAAGGATCATCCTGAGCTGGATACAAGATTCACCTCCTTTCAAGATATTATAATAAGAACAAATCCTTCAAAGAAAGTTTCAAAACCTGGTAGGAATTGTTAATTCAACACTATCATTTTTAAATAAATTTTTTGTGTTTAAAGGATGTTCTTAGGCCAAATTAGTTTTGTCTCTAGCTTCAGATTGAACAAATTATTGTGACAGTTCACAATACTATTGGTGGTTAACAAGTATCATTCACCACAGTGGAGGTGAATAGTGGAGTATATTTTGTGTTTAATGAAGTGCGTAGGTAATTATCCTACACTTTCACCAATACTTCTCTAGGTGAACAATAATCACCACACAAACAAGACAACTGGTAGCCCAAAATCCTCATGGATAAAATGTTAGTCCCTTTGATTTGATTAGACAAAGCTAGTCATCAACAGATACAACTCTTTAATTGTCATCCCAAAGTATTTTATGATAAAGTTCAGATATAACAAGCACTGTCGTTGGTTCAAAGGGCTTGCTCTATCAGAGTATAGAGCATGGAGCTAAGCTAAAGCTGTCATGCCATCTGCCAATTTGCACTTTGTCTAGCCTTTTTTGTTAACCAAAAGATAAATTTGGAATGAGAGGGCCAGCAAGTAACAGAGAACTAAACAAACAGGCCAAGCACAAACTTGCCAAGTGCCGTAATTTTATAATTATTATTATAATGTGTGCAGAGACAGAAAATTCTCAAAAAGAAAACGAAATGGATAGTCTGAGTTTTGAAGGTTTTCATGCAAAATTAGATCGTAAACTTATGCGCAGTAATAAAAATCAAACACAGCTAACACTCATATACTGTATATAAAGTTTCGTGTTTTAAAACAAAACAGAACAAAATCCATGACAATTAGCTCACCATGGCGATCTCCAGTCATTGCAGTGAAGCAAGCCTCAGAAATTACATCAGCCACCCTTCAAGTAAACTGAACTCAGAGCTTGCTCTTATAATTATCCTTTCAGATGCATTGAATGGAAGGCCACAGTAAACACAGCACCTGAATTTCACTGTGCTGTCATGAGGAGCTATTTCTTGTTCCTGTGAATTTGGCTGTTCATTCATAAAACACAACTTTTGTTTTTCAATTATCTTGTGCAAAAACTTGCAAGTTTTTTATGAGGCACAATTCATCAGGATTTCATGTAACATTTCACATTCAGATTCTCTATTGAGACTAAACTTTGATGGTTTGTGAACTTTGATGTTTTGACATTTTTGACAGCTTCAGTCTTTTTCAACCGATCAGATTACACAAACCATTCTAACAAGAATTCTGAGTGGCTCGTTGTGGCCTGCTCTATGAGAGTATAGAGCATACTGACAACACTGTTGTTCACTCTGGAAGTAAAGTTTGTTTTGAAAATTGAAAGTAATGCATAGGGAATAATTTATAATGGATTCTTTATTATACAACAAATAACCACCTCCCAGTTAGCTCAATGGATAGAGTGCTGGACTGTTGTGCGGGAGGTTGAGGGTTCGAGCCCCAGCTGGACCAACACTCAAGATCTTAAAATAATTGAGAAGAATTTGCTTCCTTTCTATAATATCAAGGAGTGGTTAGGTATTCTAGTCTTCTCGGATAGGGACGAATAAATGGAGGTACCGTCTCCTGCAGGGTTAGGGGTAGGGTAGGAGACGTTAATTTTCCATGCACGAGATTACTGTGCAATGGATGTCCTTCCCTGGGGTGGGATGGGTG